ACAAACACATGAAAAGATGCTCAACATCACTCATTATCAGAGAAATGCAAATCAAAACCACAATGAGGTACCATTACACGCCAGTCAGGATGGCTGCTATCCAAAAGTCTACAAGCAATAAATGCTGGAGAGGGTGTGGGAGAAAAGGGAACCTCTTACACTGTTGGTGGGAATGCAAACTAGTACAGCCACTATGGAGAACAGTGTGGAGATTTCTTTAAAAACTGGAAATGGAACTGCCATATGACCCTCCTTCTATTTATTGTGAGATTAAAAACTATGTTTTCTTTTTTTATCTTAAGATGGAATCACAGGTCATTAAGTTTCTTCTCTTAAGTAAAACATTCAAGCAAGTAGGTGCTATCTTAGAGAAAATGAGGTATAAATAGAGAGCATACAAAAATGTTGACCTCATAAGTGACAAGTAGAAGTCTAAACTAGTCCTTAAGATTCCCCACCATTTGGTGTACATGTATCTTCAACTAGCCATTCAATTAAACATTAATCTGGGAGCTGCTGACAAATAATTTTAAATTATAACTAGTTTTAAATCAGTTGATCATAAGAAAAGAAGACTATCCTGATTGGTGGGTCTCATATAATCCGATGATTTGTTAAAAATGCTTGAATCCCTCTTTAAAGAGGTGTATGAATTATAAGAGGGTATTGAAAGAGAGATTTGAAGTGTAAGAGTGACTTGAGTGGAGAAAACAAAGTGGATACCTAGGAGTGATTTCTAGGAACTGTGAATAACCCCAAAACAGATGTCAAGGAAACAAGACCCTATTCCTACATCTTCAAGGAACTGAATTATCCCAACAATATGAATGAGCTTGGAAGAAAACCAATTTCTAGGTGAGAAATGATGACACTTTGATTTCAGCATTGTGAAAACGTGAATAGAGGGACGAGGTGTATTATGCCTAACTTTGGGCATATGAAATTGTGAACTAATAAATGAGTGTTTTTCAAGCCACTGAATCTGCAGCAGTTTATTATGATGAAATAGACCATTAATACACAGCATAACTGATAGGTTTTGTCAATTGCATTATCAAAAAATGTATATTCAACAAGGTTTAATAAAACAGGGAAACATTGGGATACAATAATAACTGCAAATGCCATAATATCATATTTCTATTCAGTGTGATATTGAATGTGTTTTTTTATGAAAATGTAGATGTCCAAATAAGAAAACTTAGAAGAAAGACTGAAATAAACATAACACAGAAACAACACCATGCGTGGTCTATTGAACAGTAATTGTGATTTTCTCTTTCTGAATTTTGGAATTCACATCTTCCATGATAAATATAAACAGTTTGATTGCTAGTGTTTTCTAAGATGAGAAGATAAATGTGCTCAAGCTTCCTATATGATTTAATGATGTAAAATAAACTATACTCTAGATGAGGAGTATGGGATTTTCTTTAAATTGTCTTGTTTGTAGATGGAAAACACCCCAATCAAAATTCTCTGGGGTGTGAATCCCCAAAGTCCCTCAGGTAGACATAAATATACAGCATGATCCCTAAGTTTAGCTTACAAGTATTGCTTACCCTTGAGAGTGTCTCTATTTTTTAATGAGAAAGAAATGTAATTTTCTTGATGACTTTACTGAAATATACTTCAGAAGAGGTTACAATACTCTTATTACAAACTACAATAATTTTAATTAAATGTAAGTATTTTTGTTGAATACTTTTTAAGATTCTTATTTAAATTAAAGAAGTCTTCAGTAAATCAATCTATAAAGACTATATGACTTCTGGTGAGTTGTTTAAATTAAGTGATTTACTTTAATTCTGATGTGGGAAACTCTGAAGTTAACAATACTTTTGGCAGAGAAACACCTATGCAACCCTAGTAGCAATGAAATGATATTCATTTAATTCATTTAAGGGTAAGAATACAAGATATTGAATTTATTTCTTATATCTTTAATATTCATGGATGCATTTAGTTTTGAGCTTTGCTTGTATAGCTGAGTGATGCCCTTGGTGGACACTCAAGTAGTAGTATTTGTTTTCAATTAAAAATTTTTTTAAAAATTAGGGAAATATTAAAAAGAAATCTATAAAACTGTAGAGAAATATGCCAGACTTCACATTAATTTTTTTGAGTTTAAAGTCATGCAGGTGAAAGCAAGTTGGAGCAGTACAGTAAATTTGAGTTCTGAATTAAACCCCAAAGTAGTCTGAAATATGTTGCCTGGTATTTGATATTAAAAGGTAACAATGCTTTTATATACCAAAATGTGTGTATTTTGTACACAAAAATCAAAATTGCTGCAGTGAGCAAAACAAAAGAAGTAGCTATCAAACAGTCTAGATAATGCAGTGATACCGTGCATGCTAAGTTGCTTCAGTCCTTTCTGCCTCTTTATAAACAACCCTATGGACTATAGCCCTCCAGGCTCCTCTGTCCATGGGATTCTCCAAGCAAGAACTCTGGAGTGGGTTGCCATGCCCTCCTCCAGGGGATTTCCCCAACCCAGGGATAGAAGCCGTGTCTCTTATGTCTGCTGCATTGGTAGTTTAGTTCTTTGAGAGATCACAGAAATTCAGACAGAAGCGTTCAGATTGCAGGTAATTTGTATGGAGATGATTTTGAATATGCATAAGCATTTGAGCATGATTTTAAACTAATACTGAAACAAAATTAGTCCTGAAGAATGGCTGTAGGAAGGATAATAAAGATAGATGCTGAGTAGATGGGTGGTAGCTAGCAATAAAGATGGGAGTGTATTTTGAAGAATATGTTCATTTTGCCCTAATTACATTTTGCACAGCCTTAATCTTGAATGGAAAGGAAATCATAGAGATACAGACAAGGACAGGGAAAAATGGACAAAACAAAGCTTATGTCTTGATGGCTTGAGACATTAATGGAAATGTGCAGCTAAGAAGGAAACATTAGAAACGAATTAAGTAAGAAAAATATTTCCTTCATGTATGCATTTTTTCTACTTGTTAGTTACTATTTGCACCATTTTAGACTTTGTAAAATTATAGGTGGTGCTATATTGTAGAATGTTCTGAGGTCATACATTTCGAATTCAAAGTAAACATGAAAAACAGCATTAGAAATACAAGAGAAGAAACTAAATTTGGTGAGGGACATTCATTACATGTGAAATTAAAGTCTTAAATGTTTTAGAAAATAATGAAAGTTGGACTTACCTGATAGCTCAGCTGATACAGAATCTGCCTGCAATGCATGGGACCCAGGTTCAATTCCTGGGTTGGGAAAATCTGCTAGAGAAGGGATAGGCTACCCACTCCAGTATTTCTGGTCTGTGACTCAGCTGGTAAAGAATCTGCCTGTAATGTGGGAGACCTGGGTTCAGTCCCTGGGTTGAGAAGATCCCCTGGAGAAGGGAATGGCTACCCACTCCGGTACTTTAAAGTAAATTTGGTGGGGGGCAATTATTACATGTGAAATTAAAGTCTTAAATGTTTTAGAAAATAATTCACTAATTTAAGTTATATTTTATACATAATTATGTAGTAAAAACAAATTCTTATAATAAAATTATATTCTATAGGTGAGGTTTCAGAGAGTTTAACTTGTCAGAGACATATTAATAAGTGGCTGAGGTTAAATTTGAAGGCAAGTTGACTTAATTAAAGAGTCTAGGTTGTTAACAAGACATCATTCATATTCTCTAGGAGATACGATATGTGACATTTTACCGAGGTTTGGCCAGTTGGCAAAATCATTAAAGGAATGTAAACCTGAGGCTTCTCTGATAAGGTGGGTGCTGAATCTCTCAGCTGTGTGACTTGCTAGGCTCCTCTGTCCATCAGATTTCACCAGCAAGGACACTGAACTGGGTTGCCAGCTCTTTCCCCTGGGGATCTGCCTGACCCAGGGATTGAGCTTATGTCTCTTGCATCTCCTGCAGCATCAGGAGGATTCTTTACCACTGCATCACCTGGGAAGACCTCTCTGATAGGAGAGCACTAAGCAAAAGTGAGAGAAAAACAGAAGACATCCTGAGCAGTTCGAATGGCCTGAACAAACATAAGAATTTGAAGTGTAATCAACAATTTCAATTAAATGAAGCTAAAGAAAGGAATTACCCACGTGGAGAAAAGGGAGACATAGCTGAGGAGGCTGAGAAAATCCAAACAAGGACATTATCTGAGTCACCTTGACACTCAGTTCTTCCCAGTCCATCCTCTCCTTACCCCTCCATCAGAAGCTGACTTGCACTCTCCACACCTGTAGATACACCGTGTACCATTTGGGCTCCAACTGTGTCTTATTCGCCTTCCTGGGAAATCCCAGACTTCACCACTGCAGACCAGTCCCCTGTCCAGGCTGGGGAAAAGATACCCTCTATTTCTGTCCTGTCTGGGTGCTTAGGGTGAACTCTGATTTTCTCTGGAAGGAACCATAGTGATGGATGAGAGAACTCAGAGTGCTGGAATCACCTTCGTCCTCTCGGGCTTCTCAGAACACCCACAGCTCCAGACGCCCCTCTTCTTGGTCTTCTTCACCGTCTATACAGTCTCTGTGGTGGGGAACCTGGGTATGATTGTGATCATCAGAATCAATCCCAAACTTTACACACCCATGTACTTCTTTCTCAGCCATCTCTCCTTTCTTGATTTTCGTTACTCTTCTATAACCACACCCAAACTCTTAGAGATCTTGGTTGTGGACGTAAGGACCATCTCCTACGTGGGTTGCATGATGCAATTCTTCCTTGGTTGCACACTTGTGATTACGGAGATGTCCATGCCAGCAGTGATGGCCTGTGACCAGTTTGGGGCTGTTTGCAACCCCCCGCTCTACACAGTTGTGTGTCTCCTAAGCTCTGCAGACTCCTGCTTGCTGGAGCCTACACGTGGGGTGGAATGTGTTCCTTGACAATCACATGTTCTCTTTTGGAGCTGTCCTTCTGCGGTTCTAACATCATACATCACTTTGGCTGTGAGTATTCTGCTATTGTCTCTGCCTCCTGCTCTGACTCTCATGTCAGTCAGATGACATGTTTTATTTCTACTCTCAATGAGGTGTGCAGCCTCCTGATTATCCTCGCCTCCTATATTTTCATAATTGTCACAATCATCAGGATGCCTTCAGCCGGTGGACTCCGAAAAGCCTTCTCCACCTGTGCCTTCCACCTGACCGCCATCACCATTTTCCACGGGGTCATCCTTCTTCTCTACTGTGTACCCAACTCCAGAAGCTCACAGCTCTTCACCAAAGTGGCCACTGTGCTTTTCACAGTAGTGACCCCCATGCTAAATCCCCTTATCTACAGCCTTAGAAACAATGATGTGAAGGAGACTGTCAGAAAATTAGTCAACACCAAAATGTTTTCTCACCCAGTGTCATTTTGAGTGAGAAGAGAGATAGAGGAAAGCACTTTCTTAAATGCGCTTTATACAGTGTGTTGGTGGTTTTTACATTTTTCTTCAAATGTGTGCTTATTCACTGATTAATGTCCTACTCTTTGCAGCCCCTTCTCTATCCATGGGGAATCTCCAGGCAAGAATACTGGAGTGGGTTGCTATGCCCTTCTCCAGGGGATCTTCCCAAGCCAGCGATGGAACTCATGTCTCCCGAAGTGCATGTTGATTCTTTAGTGACTGAGACACAATGGGATGCAATCTCTTGATAAAACTACATATACATATACATATATATAATATATATATATATATCATATGAATATAATGTGATCTTTAAAATGCACTGTGATTTTAAAATATCACCTTCAGTTTAAAAGAAAAAATAAATAAAATTGTATTTATGTCTCACTTTCAGAGTGTTATAAGCAAGATAATGATCATCTAATGTTGTCCATGGGCTTCCCTTGTGGCTCAGATGGTAAAGAATCTGCCTGCAATACGGAAGACCTGGGTTCTTTCCCTGGGTAGGGAAGATCCCCTAGAGGAGGGCATGACAACCCACTCCAGTATTCTTGCCTGGAAAATCCCCATGGACAGAGGAGCCTGGTGGACTACAGTCCATGGGGTCGCAAAGAGTCGGATAAGTTGAGCGACTAAGCACACAGCACAGCAAAAGGCTGTCCACATCCTAACATTCTCAGAGTTTGCAAGTGAGTTCTGTTCCATGTCTTCTTTCTTTCTCTTTTTTTCTTCTCTTCCTTTCCTTTCTCTTTTTCTCACTCTCAAATTATGAAATGTGATAAATAGGTAGACCAGTAATTTTGTATCATCATCCTGTATGTTAGTTTCTCCAAGAAATTAAAGACATTATCTGCTCTTTACAGCATTTCTGTAAGCATTTTTCTAGTCACCATGCCTCTCTGATGCCTCTAGGAGCAAACTCCATTGCGGTGTTCAAAAATTTTTCTTCGAAACAGAGACTAGAGAGTTAAAACCTAACTTTGTAGCTTTTGAATTTCGTATTATTAAATCAAGATTTATTAAAATCTCAGAGTATATTCCCTTGTGTCTGGCTTATTTGGCTCAGCATTTTGTTTCAAAAGAATTTTTAAGTGATTGACTGTAACAGTAGTTCCATTTTTGTTGCTGAAGAATGTTCCACAAAATAAATATATTGATATGATAATGTTTATTCATACTACAAGTGGAATTTGGCTATTTCCTCTTCTTTATTGAAGTATTATTTATTTACAATGTTATAATAATTTTAGATGCACAACATAGTGATTCATTATGTTTTTAGATTACACACTGTTAAAACTGAGTGGCTCAGTGGATAAAGAAACCGCCTGCACTGCAGGCGATGCCAGAGATATGGGTTTGATTCCTGGGTGGGGAATATCCCCTGGAGGAGGCCACAGCAACCCGATCCCATGGGCAAAGCAGCTTGTGGGCTGCAGTCCATGGGGTTGCATTGTATCCTTGTAGCTTACCTATTTTATACAGAGTATTTTGTATACTTTATATTCCTAAATTGCCCCGCCTGCTTTCCTCTAAAGTCTGCAAATAACAATTGTTGGAGAGAATTAAAGGGAAAGCTTGGGCATTGTGGGTGAGGATGTAAATTGGTATAACCAATGCTGGAAAACAATATGGAGTTTTGCACACACACACACACAAACACACACACAAAAGCTAAAAATAGAACTATCATGTGAGCCAGCCATTTCACTCCTGGTTATTTCACCTTTTTGTCTTTAATGGAAATGCTGTGTGAACATTCTTAACAAGTGTGTGCTGCATTGCACATGAGCACTCACTGTGTGAGGCATGCACTATCTCTGAATGTTCTGGATCAAAGTGAGCTTGTTTCTGATCTTTTGCTAGATACCATCAAATAATTTTCCAAAATAGAGGGATTAGTTTAAATTCCAACTATATTGCATGTGGGTTCTAATTATTGTCCATTCTTGAACATGTTTAATATTGTCATAGCAGACATTTTAATATTTTCAGGTTGGTGGGTGAGTAGAGATACTTCATTTTGGTTATGAATTCAATTCCATTTTATCAATGTGCTTGAATTCCTATAATTTAGTTATTAGTCATTTGACTTGTCTTACTTCTTTGTGAAGGGCTTATTCAGGGTTTTTTTTTAACCTATTTTTCTATTAGGTTGTTAATATTTTACTATGAAATATGTATTTCATTATGCATTCTAAATAAAGCTCTTTTGATATATGTATCATAAATATTTTCTCCTAGATTGTGGCTTGTCTATTCACTCGGTTGGTGATGTATTTAGGGGCACACATTTCCTTATGTTTAATGAATTACTGTTTATCAAACTGTTTCTTTACACAGTGAAGGCTTTTAATGTCTTATTTAAGAATCACTTCTTACCTCCAAAATAATAAACATATTCTCATGTTTTATGTGCTAAATTATCACAAATTTCATACAGTATTATATTTTATATTCTACTTCCTCTGTTTTCAATTCTGGGTTTTATTTTCTCTTTTTACATTGATTTTTAAATTTATTTCAAACTGAAAGTAAATTTTGATGGGGCATGATTATAAGCTAATTTTATATTTTGACTTATTTGTGTATATTTACCCCAGAAATACTTATTGAAAAAGTCACTCATTTTAACACTGCTCTGTGGTGCCAGAATATTCATAAAGTAAACATCAGTATATCTATAGTTCGTTTCTAGACTTTCTGTATGCTTCTAGGGTTTTATAACCAGAACACCCTTAACTAGTAGGCTTTGGCATCAAGTTGAGCAACTCCTAAAAAGTTAACTCTTTATCTTGCAGAGTGTTTAAGATATTCTTTATCTTTACCTTTTAAAAGAAACTTTAGAATTATTCTTGTTTAGATTTAGTGTAGAAAAACAGTAGAATTGTAGATCTATTTGCAGAGAATGATAAGTTTGCATCCTCAAGTCTTCCAAATCATAAGCACTCTACATTATTATGTTTATTTAGATCTACTTCATGTTTTACAATATAAGATATATCATATTTTTATAAAGTTCTTGAATATATTTTTAAATTAATCTGGATGTGTGATTATTTTTCATATGATTTTAAATGTCATTTGTAAAATGTTTATTGTTTTTCAATTAGGATTCAATGCATTTTGGCAACTGTAACAATATCTCTTAATAATTTTATAATTTGTAGATTATTTTGGGTTTCAACATGCATATCATACAATCTCTAATTAAAGATTTCCTGGATATGTTGTTTCCAATGTTATTCCTTTTATTTTTTTCTTGTGTTTGGTTAACTAACTGAAAACGTTAGTACAATTTTGAATAAACAGTAAAAGTGGGTATCCTTGACTTCCTCATCTAACAAGGAAAGTATCAATACTTAACATTTCATGCTTAAAGTATTAAGCAAAGTTATCTCATGTATTTTTTGTATGTGTTTGCTTGTTATATTTTGATTTTTACTGAGTGAATGTTGAATTGATCAAGCTAATTTTCCTCAATTTAACTCCTTTAATATTTTTATATGGTAACTTATATTAAAAATTTTTTTCTAATGTCAAAATATGTGCTTTTTTCCTGAGAAAATTACTATAAGCATTATATATTTACATTTTTATTAGTTGATTGGTTTAATGTGTCAATATTTTATGTATAATTTAAAACTCTATGATTATTGGTAAGATTGTTCTGTAATTTTCTTTCATTGTCCTTTACTTGTTAGTTTTTGCCATCAAAATTATATTTTTCTCTTAAAACAAAAATGGTAAGAGAGTCTTCTTATTCAATTCAGTGAATATTATGTAGAAATGAAAAAGAGAGTGTGATAGAAGAAACACATATAAAAAATAACTATAAGTTAAATGCTATTCAGTTCAGTTCAGTTGCTCAGTCGTGCCCTACTCTTTGCGAATCCATGGATTGCAGCACACCAGGCATCCCGGTCCATCACCAACTCCCAGAGTTCACGCAAACTCATGTCCATTGAGTCAGTGCTGCCATCTAACCTTCTCATCCTCTGTCGTCCCCTTCTCCTCTGCCTTCAATCTTTCTAAGCATCAGGGTCTTTTCAAATGACTCAGCCCTTCCCATAAGGTGGCCAAAGTATTGGAGTTTCAGCTTCAACACCAGTACTTCCAATGAATATTCAGGATTGATTTCCTTTAGGATGGACTGGTTGAATCTCCTTTTAGCCCAAGGAACTCTCAAGAGTCTTCTCCAACACCACAGTTCAAAAACATCAGTTCTTCAGTGCTCAGCTTTCCTTGCAGTCCAGCTCTCACATCCATACATGACAACTGGAAAAACCACAGCTTTGACTAGACCGACCTCTGTTGACAATGTCTCTGCTTTTGCATACACTGTTTAGGTTGGTCATGACTTTTCTTCCAAGGATAGGGTCTTTTGATTTCATGGCTGCAGTCACCATCTGTAATGACTTTGGAGACACCCCCCCCTAAAAAAAAAAAAAAAAAAGTTTGCCGCTGTTTCCACTGTTTCCCAATCTACTTGCCATGAAGTGATGGGACTGGATGCCATGATGTTAGTTTTCTGAGTGTTGAGCTTTAAGCCAACATTTTCACTCTCCTTTTTTACTTTCATCAAGAGGCTCTTTAGTTCCTCTTCACTTTCTGCCCTAAGGGTGGTGTCATCTGCATATCTGAGGCTATTGATTTTCCCAGCAGTCTTGATTCCAGCTTGTGTTTCATCCAACCCAGCTTTTCTCATGATGTACTCTGCATATAAGTTAAACAAGCAGGGTGACAATATACAGCCTTGACATGCTCCTTTTCCTATTTGGAACCAGTTTGTTGGTCCATGTCCACTTCTAACTGTTGCTTCCTGACCTGCATACAGATTTCTCAAGAGGCAGGTCAGGTGGTCTGGTATTCCCATCTCTTTCAGAATTTTCCACAGTTTATTGTGATCCACACAGTCAAAGGCTTTGGCATAGTCAATAAAGCAGAAATAGATGTTTTTCTGGAAC